AAAGATTGCAGAAAGAGAAAAATGTGTTCAATTACTGTAGATGTGTAGCAACTCTTTCGCGGCAGAAAAAGAAAAATTTGTCACCAATTTTCTGTGATAAATTGAAGCTACAGAAGAATCCGATGGGGAGAAGACAGCTTGGCCTACTTCTCAAAGTAAATGTGATACGGCAGGCGACGTCCCCATTTTAAGAAAATGGCTCAAATATATGCCTTTCTGGATCACAAGGAGCTCAAAGTGTGTATTCGACTAATTTTCGATCATAAACTGTCCTTAACTTGATACGTAAAATATGAAGATTCAAAGATAATAAAACACCATAAAACATTCACATTTTTAAAAAACATTGCCGTTTTTCGGCTTGCATCTTTTATATTTTATCTCCTTGACTTATGCAGCCCAGTTGTAAAAGTCAAACCAGGAGATGCCTTAAAAACAGCCTTAGGGAGGAACACTTTAAAAGTATCACAAGTATTTCAGACCTCTTTTCAAAGCTACTGTGGTAATAAGTGCCCCAACATGTGACGACCATATACTTATTGATATGAAGAGATTCTGGGAGGGCCTGTGAGCGAGCATGTCCGATCAAGTAATTCGAGGACGTTCCACTACCATAAAGCGACCAGACGTCCCGATTTAGGCGGGACAGGTCCCGCTTTTGCGGCCGTGGTCCCGTTGTCCCACCAGCGTGCTTGTGGGACGCCGTTTTGTCCCGCTTTTGCTCCTCGAACCGCGGATAGAAGATTCGGTTAAACGAAAAAATCGCACCGGTGAGAGGGTGCTTCCTCTGATCAAGGAACAAGATATCCTCGACAGAGAAGATGCCGAAGGTTAATTGGTGTATGACATGTGAACAGTACTATGGACCATAGTACACAAAAATAAATACATTGATACTAAAGGAATATTCCAACCAAATGTATTAGATAGCTGCAAGCCACACAGTACGCAAATTGCAAGAAAAAGAAATGCACACGGTGTATACGAAATAATGAAAGGCACGATTTGTTACCGAAATTTAAACTTTTCAAGTCTCGCAGCACAATACCCCCCCCCCCCCCCGCCCCCGATACGCGTCCCGCTTTGGGGCCCGAGGAATATGGTCACTTTACACTACCACCGCAACCAAGGCATATGAGTTGTCACTTGCCACACCAACCAAGGCTGAAGTGGAATTTTTGTGGCCAGAACTGACCTTGTTTCAGGACCAGCCCTTCCATATTCCTATCTCTGCACAACTTCCCAGGCACTCCTCTTTCCTGTCAAATTTTCCCCTTCCTCCATTAATTTACCTTTCCACCTTTCTCTCTGGGTCAGGTCACATCAATGCACACCTGGCTGGCATTAGAAGTTGTTTCACACGGTACCATTTTCCGCTAACGCATGTGTGGCACCATTCGCAGGCCTCATTGGCATTTGGAAAAAAAATTAACCCAAAAAAAAAAAACACAAAAAAAAACTGCATTTCTAAAGATTCAAATAAGAACAAAAACAAGAGTTTTTGATTATGAACTTGACGGTAGTTCACTAGCGTTCGTCAGTAAATTTAATATTTAGGTGTAACTGCGTCGGGAGATATGAATTAGAAATCCCGTGTCACCAATTTGACGAACCCCCCCAGGAAGAAAATTGTGGTTCCCGAGACATAACTTCAAATGAGCAACATAGAAAAAAAAGATTGAAAACTGAGAAAAGGTTCAAAGAAGAGCTGCCAGATTTATCATTTCAAGATACCAAAAGACTGAGTCCATCAGTGCGATGCTTACCCAACTGAACTTGCTGCCACTGGAAGAACGTAGGAATGGCAAAATTAAAACTGCTTTTATGATGAAAAACAGCGCAAAAATACAAGGCATACCTGCCAACCTAGCAACATGAAAACTCGGGAGACCACCGCACGAGGACTGTGATAGGTAAACTGCTAAGGTAAACTGCCGATGGTGCCCTGCCCTTCTACAGCACGAACGTGGTCCCGATCCTTTCGTAAAGTGATGTGTATCTTGATGTCAGGCTTGCCACCGTGCAAAACGCTCAAATCGCAGGCGCACATGGTACAGAATTCATACTTGTCAGCTTTTTGCAAAGCGAAAAAGCACGGAAACTCAGTCGCATATGATCTCAGAAATACTTGCAAGTACTTCTTGGCTTTTGAAAGCATCATCGATCGTTCCAACTAACCTCTGGGAAACAGTAGTTCGGCCTTCCGCACCTCACTCGACGACCTGACAAAGCCAACTGAAGCCTAGCGCACCCATGATAATATAAGCAGTGTTCCAAAACGCACTCAAACTTACTCAGGAGTAGAAGTTTTGTACCTTGGCGTTGAAAATCTACCCTTGTTTTTCGATGCTCCTCCGAGTTGTCACATAACTTGCCGGAGTAACCTAAGCCTACTTGAATAACTCTCACTAACACATGCGTAATAATTATAGCAATAAAGAAAAAATTTAAAATTGACGGCGGTTATTTTTTAGAAGATTTGAGGTTGTGTCTGTACAATCGAGAGATGTATTCAAAATTCGGGAGGTGCCCAGACAATTTGGGAGAGTTGGCAGGTATGACAAGGAAATGGAGAACTCGCAGGACAAAATGCTGTCCTGTGTGTTCTACGCCCTCCTTTATGTCCTTGTATTCGCATGCCATTTTTTTACCATTAATACATACCAACTAGCCCAGCTATCCATTCTAATATGTTTTATTTGATACAAAACAATAGGTTCAACATTGATTCGCTACAATACTTGAAGCTCGACTCAACCAGAGGACTTTGGGGCAGCCGTACTGAAATGCTGATGCCGATGAAAGCCCGGATCAACCTTTATAAGTATTCTTTTCCGAGGGCACCGTTGAAGGTTTTGAGGTCACCCTGAGAGGCCTTACCAAACAATATACATTTGGTTTCATGTCTGTGTTCCTTGCTTTACAGATATTTATGCACTTTTAAACGTGTCTGTCTGAAAAATTCATGTACATATCATTCGTAGAAGAGTTCTTTAAAAATTGTTATTATTGGTCAATAGGCCAACAGCAAGAATAAATAAATAAAAATGCCTGTATCACGCTGCACATGCATTTTTCTCCTAAAGGTCACTTTAGCTTGAACGTCCTTACATTGTCATTACTAAACTCAGTCGACCATCAAGTTCAGAGTGTTGGGAGCTGTGCGCTTGCCGAAGCAACCAACTGCCTTTCATCAACTAAACCAGTTGCTTTCTGCACGTCTGTATGGGTGGGAGTGTGGCCATGTGACAAAAAATAGATGTACTTGTAAATATATTAGCTGGAACTTTGGAATTATACTTGAACATGAAGAAAGAAAGGACAGGAGAGGACAAACAGCTGACCATCAACGAACGGTGTTGTAGTATAAACTTCCTTCTGTTTGCTTCTGCCGTTCACATCTGGACACTCAAGAACCATTAAGAGAAGGGTTGCCAGCACAGCTCTGGTCTCTGCCTTACAGAAATCATGCAAACATCAAATAGGGCAAAGCTTCGAAAAACAGATGTCACAACTACGAGAATCAGGGTATCCAACAAGTCTCATGGTACCCATCTGTGGAAACAAACGCAAAAAGTTCCAGCATACAACGTCGGACAACGAAAACGCAGATATAACTCAAAAAAATATTGCAGTGCTACCCTACACTCACGGGATTACACACAAGTTGAAAAAGATTGCCGGAAGAAATGACGTTCAAGTAGTATGCTCCGCGCCCAACAAAGCCTACTCCATGTGCAGACAAGTTAACCGAAGAACATAAAAGAAAAAGCCTCCGACATGGCCCACAGATTGCAGTACGTCCCATGCACAACAGGGGTGGTGTTCCACATCTCCCTTTCATGCAGGGGAAATGCCACAACAGCAAAAAGGGCCGACGTATCGACGGCAGAGCCCGCGAGTATGCAGGATCTCTTAAAGGAACAGCGGCAGGACACCTGGCAGTTCATTGCAGGACATGCCAGGGGCAGTGCAGCTTTCAACACCACAACCATCCTTACCATTAACCACAATCCTCATGCACGCGAGATGCTCGAGGCGCTCGCTATTGAACACTCAGAGGAATGTGTCAGAACCCCATCTATCAAAGTTCACAAAAAGAAAGACAATACCCGTGAAGTGTCAGGCCCCGAACAACAGCAGGCTAGTTCAAAAACAATAATTTAAGTATTTCTGTGAAAATCTGTATAATTTTGTACACCATAAAATCCTGAGAGATGCCCCACCCCCCAAAATGTAACCCACCCCTAGCGTTGGCTCAATTTGCAATTTTCGTTTAAAAACCCAAAGGTAACCAGACTCTTAGTAATTGCAGTGTTGGGATTGATGATAGCCTCGGTGTAAATGCGTCTAGTTACCATGGCGGCATCTAAGCAAACATTGCTGACTGGCAAGTACAGCCATCTTTGCTTTATTGCCCTGCCGCGATAACAAGTTTGGTAGGGACACATCATTTTAAAATATCATATTTTAAGACTTTTCTTGATTGCACACCGAAAGCTGGCGCACTCCTTATTTTCACCCAATTTTCTCTCAATTTTAGGTGGCCGATCTCTCGGGATATTACGGTAAATGTAATTATCAGTAGTAATCTTTATGAATGCAATAGGTCTATTGATGTAATAGGTTTATCATGCTCTACTTTGGACTCTAAATGAAGAAGCAAACACGCAAGGAAGAAGTGTACACTAAAACACCATTGGCAGTCATCTGTTTGTCCTCCTGTCATTTTTCTTTGTGTTCAAGCATAATTTTAAAGTTCAAGCTGATATATCAACAATTATGTACAAACAAGCTCAACTCTTAGCCGTTATTAGATAGACTCTGGCTCAACGAGCTTGTAACTTACATTCCGGTGTGAGCTTAGGGGGTTGAATGAAGTATAGAGATTGAAGAGTTCTATGTATCCGTCTTATCTCCATATGCAATAGCCCTTCAACCTTCATCCTCCCCGATGACATAGATGGCTCCCTGTTTGCAAAGAGAACCAAGTCACAAACCTGGATGTCCAGGACGCAGTTGAGGTCCGGCAGGGTCACATGGCGGTCTTCCATCTTGCGGCGGTTGTTGCGCACAGCGTGTGTGGACACTGGCAGCGCCACGGCAGGGAAGGCAGCCATCTTGTCGGCCAGGTGGGGCTGCTCCAGCCAGAGGGCACAAAGGGCGTGCAGGGCCTCCAGGGACTCTGCCCGCAGACGCCCGCTGTCCAGCTCTGAAACACGCCATTCTTTCAAGCAACAGCATTTTGCAGTCTAACCCTTTCAGTGCCTGGATTATTTGTTTGTTTTTACCCGCGTGTTGAACACAAATATTGGTTCCTTTTAGAAAAATGTAGCAAGCTTTATGAAGTATAATTATTTATAGAATGGGCTTAAACTTAATTGATGTCTGTATCCAACCCACAATATTTTCCTCAAAGTACACTCTAAGACTGCTCGCAAGGTGGCGCCCTGACCTCGCACCCAGGGTTCACTCCTTTCGAGTGGCCTTAACCCCTTAAGTGCCGCGGACGAGCCCACCTCGTCCGGTGGTTTTTTCGGTAGCCCTCGATTCCATGGACGAGCTAGGCTCGTCAGAGCAGTTTTGCAGCGCTAATCATAGATGGCAGCACTCGTTTTAGTTGGCAAATATTTTTTTTGCCTCCGCTGATTTCTGCGTAATAAACTTTTCAAATTTTATGTGTACTACTAAAGTAATAACAATTCAAAATAATAAAAAAAATATGGCACTTTTAGGTTACTTTTGGAAAAAAACAATTTGGCACTTGCGGGGTTAACCGACAGTCTTTTTGTTCAGAACCGGGACTTTTTCTTTAGTTTACTACTAAATTAGTTCATTACTAATTCCTAGATCTCAGTTTTCACCACAAGGTTGAGACAGTGTCTAGAACAACAAAAGGACCAAACCGAAAAAAGAAGTCCCCCAAACAACACTTTCCCCATGCAATTAACGGGTCTTAGTACAAGGCAAAACATTGCTCTGCACATAAAAATAAAATCAACAGCCCATTTTGGAGAGGTAGGGAGCAAGTTGAAACCCAAACAAGCACGGGTTTCAGTTTGAGTGCCACACTTAAGTATACTCGGGCGTGGCACTTAAAGGTTTAATACGGTGGTTAACTGCAGCCTTAGGCAGTAATTCATTACTAGTCACATGTTACCGGTAACTATACTCCTTTTCACCTCAAGAACGTAAGTAAAAAAGGTTTAGCTACTCGTATACAGCATTACTAATTTTCCCTTTTGCCCCTTTATGTACAGAATTAAATATGTGTAGGCGAATTTTAGATTAGATATGTGTTCTTATCAAGAAACACTGGTTTCAAATGCCAAAAACATTGCTCCTTCCTCCAACAACCAAATCCTTTAAGAACTACTTTGTGCGGCATATGAACAATGGACAAAACTTGCTTTTTTTTTTTTCTTGACGTAAAAACGAGTAGTTACTTTTCAGTTACCTGTAACTAACTGTTCACCGAAACTAACTTGTAACTGTAACAGGGTTACTATTCTTCGAAAGCGACTAAACAGTAATGTCACTACAGTTACTTCTCGGATTTATGTGCAAAAATATTGCAACCACGACCGCCAAATCGTCTTGCAACTCATGAGGGAGTCCCAAGTCCTGATATGGGAAGGGCACAGCAAAAACAGCTGCAGAAATCACCTGGAGCATGAAAAAAAAAATAAGAAAAAAACTAAATGTTGGGTGACCCTGCTTGGCCAAGCTGGTCCCACCAACTGGGAGAATAAGGATGTTTGTGTCCATACCCACGGTGCATGGTACATAATTGGTTATTGGTGTTAGGGGTCATGTTGCACTTGCAATATTGACTGCAATTATGATTTGAGGTAAGACAGATCAAAATAATTTGTGAAGAAGAAATAGTTTGAGATATTAATTGATAAATTTTCATATTTTCTAGCCTGATTTAAAATACCACACTCAAAAAGAGTGCTGCAAGTGCTGCAGCAGCAAACTTCTATACCCCCTCTTTTTTTTAATCTGTTTGAATAGAAATGAAACCTCGTGTATAAAGTGGTGTTAGGCTCACCATCCCTTTCCTACCCTTTTGCTAAACTGATACCCTTGATTCCATCCCAAGCAGAGGAGCTCATTGCTGCAACACTCTTGGTGAGGATGCCCCCAATATTTTTAGAGTTAGCATGCATGACAATTTATGCCCCTCTAAAACATGGACGGCCCAAGAGTCCTTCAAATGTTAACTCCTTCTCCATTCCCAGAATATCCTTCGAGGATCCTGGAAGCGGACATGCATACTAATCTTGATTCAGCTATGCTGCCTCAACTATCCACTACCGTCTACATGATGGTACTAACAAAGTGAATGAAAGGACCACTTCGGTCACATGAACACGCACCTCCTCCATCCATGTCATCTCCGAGAGTGCCATTCAGCTTGAAGGAGGAAGCAGTCTTCTGCGCCACGGTCTTGGCCACTGCCACACTGAGGTTGAGGGGCCATTGCCTGGATAAGCAGAAACAAAAGTTCAAGGTCAATGTCATCCAAAACCTTGAGCAGTCAACGCTTGAAAATTTTAGGAGCAGGATGAGGTTGAGTGCAAGGAAAACAAGATAAGCAAGACAAACAGATGAAACATTGAAAACAAAAAAGCCAAAATATCTGAAGAACCAGCCGTTTGTGACAAGAAATTCGATATAATTAGGTGAAAATGCATAAGGATTCCAGAGAAGAGGTAAAAAAATGTATGAAAAAACGTGCAAAATGCCTGGGCGTTTGAGAATAGAAGCTCTTGAAGAGAGTGGAGAAAACACTATAATACACCATGTTCTGATGCAGTATATTTGACAATGTTGCACATATAGCATAAACACAATATAAAACATTGGACTGCTCTGCAGGATGCAAGCCTGTTACAGCGAGTGCAATTCATTTATAGCAAAAAAACACATTGAAAAATTGCTTAAAACAATTAATCAATTTCTAGAAACTGCAGTTTTACATTATGTCTATGCAAAGCTAAACGAAAAGTAGCGATTGAATTCCATACCAACACACAATACATTGCCAGAAGTCACTGCACGTGGCATGAAAATGTCTGAAAGTCGATCACTACAAGGATATAACCTAGGAGTGTCAACTTCTTAACCCTAGCTTAAGATGAAAGAAAGTAACAGTGTAGACAAGCGGTTTTCAAACACAAATGTTTTGGGGACCCCTTTTGGAGTGAAGGGTGACCCCATCCATCATAGACGATTACAAAAGCAGAAGTGTAAAAGAAAACTCAATGTCTGCAAACAAACTTCAAAGCCCTGAAATGGAGAGTAATCAACCTTATTTACACGGTCCACATGGTTTGGTTTATCGAACATTGTGGAGCAGCCAGCATCAATAAAAAAAAAAAGGTTGTACTGCTTGGCTTGATCGAAGGTAGAGGGCTTCGGGGACCCTAAGCATGCCTTCACTGACCCCGGAGGTCTGCGGACACCCCATTTGAGAATCACTGGTGTAGACTGTCAGTCATGATACAAACCATAGTGCAAAGGAGTTTCTCCGCACATTAATTATGAAAGAAATTATGATAGTTTCTACCAGATGCACCAACATGGTCAACCTGTTGTTAGAGAATTAATACCAATTCTCTTTGGCAGGTCAAATCTGGAGAGAGTGAGTGAAAGGTATTTTGTGACAACAAATTTACTCTTATAATAACATTACTCTGCAAAACTCGCAAGTTTTATGCCTGCAGTGCTTGTTTTTGATTTTTATTGCATACTGTTCATTGGGCTTTATGCAATAAAAATTACCAGTTCTAGATGACAAGGTGCCTTAGTAAACTCACAGCAATCAAAACAATATTTTCTCTAAGGAGGGAGGGAGGGGGGGGGGGGGGGGGGGTGTCCTCAGGTTTTCACCACCCCCATAAAGTTTGACTGATGGAAATAGTAATTGCATGAAGATTCTGAACATTACTATTATTGCTCTTTTTAAGCGCATTGTGCATTATACATTTTGAACAAAAATGTCAAACCTTTGGGTGCAGGAGACGTACTACAGCAATTATTGTTTGAAAATGCCAGACCCATATACAGGTGAAGGGTCTGGACATCTATTGTCCTCGGTGACCTCTCGCTATACCTTCGCTCCTCCCAGACTCCTCCCATAGAACTGACATCAGGCCAAGCACCTAGCAACGGAAAACGAAGGGGGGGGGGGGGGGGGGGGGGGGGGGGGGGGGGGGACAGCGCAGGCCTGTTTACCATTACCGATCCCAGGCCAACGCACGCGCATGCAGGGCCCCATGGTATCCTGCATACAAACCTTTATTTTTAGGTTTTCAGGTGAGAAAATGGTTGTTGTGCGGTTGAATCACAACCGTCATGGTTTCGGTGTTTTTTATAATTGATTTTATAAGAGAAACAAAAAGAAAAGTCGCTAAATATGGTTGAATAAATTCAAGCACGACAATTGTGAATGCCCACGGAAGGCTCCTGTCCTTGTGAGCTAAGAATGGTTGTTTCATCTTGAACCTATCAAATGGAGTTTTGGTCTCAGTAGAGACTAAAACTAGCGAATTAGTTGCAAATGTAATGCGTGATGTGAATAATTGCAGCACAAGTCTGGGACGTCTCATCTGCAAAGTGAATAAAGTTATTACTTGATGCCTTCTAATAAATGCTATTTTATGTATGAAAAAGCCAATTTTGATGTCTTTCTATCTTCCATTCATTGTCATGTAATGACATGATGATGGATGCTGGGATCTCAGGGCCGTTAGGAACGGCCAATTAATCGAGTTATATATATTAAAACGAGCAAGCTTACCATTCGCAAAGAGCTGCCTGGCACTGAGTCGTTCGACGTTTATTTCCTAACCTTCCGATATGAAATCGACAGCTCTAATGTTATTACAAAAACGTTTGTGCCGGCGACAATTTTGATGTCAGCAAACTCGCATAACCTTCATTTATTTTATTTATTTATGTGTAACCTTCAAGCTTCCTAAATGTCATGTTTGGAGGAGAAGATTGCTGTTTCATTGCTGAGAGAGTCCTGTAAAGGCATGCGGTAAGCATGCACGGCGTAGCCATCCCATATCAGGAGTAGCGATTGCTTTGACCAAGCCATCTCGTTTGACACGCTGACGTATAGTCAAGAGGAAATGCAATCGGGAAGAAACAGAACTCTGGGAAACTGACTAACAGCTTTAGCTCGCTTTACAATCTAACAGATAATTTTCTTTGAAAACACTGGCAACGTGGCATTCTTGTATACGTTCACTTATCAGAACACTCTATGGAAAGCCCCTCAGCTGCGAATTAGGTGTTATTGTTGCGCACTGCTAAAAATGACAAGAGGCGTCCCCTAGAACTGAAGCTTACGAAATTTACGCGAGCAGAATTTGCGCGACGCGCGGAAAGTTCACGAAGCGTATGGGAAAGTTCGCGAAGAAGCGTATGAACGGAGCGTATGAAGAGAGAATAGAGAAGGTAACCGGGAACTTAATATGGCTAATGAATAAAGAGGACACAGCCTAAACACTGCAAAACAGTCGTACGTCGGAGGAAACCACAAGCATACGAGCATTGGTCCCTGGAGTCTTTTGGGTTAGAAGATTGCAAAATGGGCATGGCATGGCATTCGCGTGGTGTGTCAGTGACATAGTTCACAAGCAGCTGTCAACAAAACCATGCCAGCTGGCAAAAAAAAGATTGTGTTGCTTTTATGTTTATACGCCTCAACGGGTAACCTGTCTCGTAGCTGTAGATGAGAAATTTAGCCAGTGCAGTATACAACCGGTAACCTGGGGTTTTTAACGTGCATCACGCAGCAGTGATTACATGAACGCATGCCAATACGAAACTCATCGAGACCGAAACGGGCTGGGGGTGGGGCTCGAACCCAGGAGGTTCTGCAGCACAAGCTTTCGCTCCACGCTCTGAGCTGAGACGCCTTAGTCCACTTGGCCACAAATTCCTTCCCATCCCCATCCCCATCCCCCCCCCAGCTAGCCACTCTGGTACTCTCCCTTAGGCTAGGTAAAGCAAGCTGTCCCCGCTACAAAACATTTAGCCAGTAACATCCATCCATCCATCCATTCATATAGCTCCAGGAAAACACTTAACGATGCCCCCTGGTGTCTGCTCTAAGGTGTAGAGAAAGGGCCACGTCACAATCTGATTAGATTTTGAATAGGGAAATCGGCCGCCCATGAGTGTAAATTTGCTTTTGTTTTTAGAATGCTGAGAGCCCACAGATCGAAGCAACATCCTGGAGAAATCTCTGCAGCAACATAGAGGAAAACAAATGGCTAGCCGTGCACGCGGTTCTCCACGTGCTCTCTAATGGCGCGAGCTTCCGCGAGTACTCGACCACCACCTGAAACCTCTCCGTTCACCCGTCTCCCCGACCGGATTTCTCGCCCGCAGCCTTCTGCGCCAAGTTCGACTGCGACGCGCGAGTTTCCATATAACTGAAATGTGTGCTAGAACACCGACATTTCGGAACTTTTGAGAAAGAAGAAGCTATCCTTCAAAGAAGCACGAAACACGGTGAACTAGGACGAATAAGGACAGCCGGAGCGTCAGCGAGACGCCCTCATGTGCGCGCCTTGCTAGGCGTCCGCCCCAGAAGACTACGGCGCAGAGGGGCGCCCCCGCACTACTTTCCAGTCTAGATACTGCGGGGCTCGCGGCACGACGCATCAGAAAAGGCCCCAAACGAAAGGGGCCCTGCGCCAAACAAGCTCGTTTTCCTGGAAGGCACACCACGTGCCCCGGAGAACTGTAACAGTGGCAGAACAAACTAACCAATCATACGTCTATCTTTCGCTACGTGATCAAACTATCGCCCCACGCGCGGAGACAAGCAGAGAACGGGGTCAGATGACGAAAGAGGCAAGAAAGAAGGTAGAAAAGTGCACCGAGAAGGAAACGCACCGCGGTCTGTTTCTTCTTTGCCAATGTACGCGAGACGAAATCCGTCCCTTGCCGCGATCCGCTCGGCATCGCCGTGGCTGCAGGTATCAAAGTCGTAAAGGCTCGGCGCCATTTCAAAGCGCCTCGGCGCTCACGCATAAACCATTTATGCGTCGCGTATACCCGGCTTTATTATTACACCGCACGACAGGCGCCGCACAGCGACCGCCTTGCGTCAACCGAGCGAGAGAGGCTCGGCCGCAAATACGGGAACGTCGCCGGGTGTGACTCACGCCGAGTAAAGTACGGTGTGTGACCTGGAACAGCTAGAATATTTACCGACTGTAACCGCCAGAGATGTGGATAAGAAGTCGTAAATTCAAACTGCGTGTCTGTTTTCCATTTGCCAATTGGTAAAAGGCGGCGCCAATGTGAAGACTAGGCTGAGTGTGCTCACACCGAGTAAAAGAAGGTGTAGGACTTGGAACGACTGTTGATCTGAACAAACCAAACAAAGAAAACCGAATCCCGCGCTTAGGAGTAAGTCCAACAGAAAATAATTATAAGTGGAGAACGCAATCTAATAAT